TGGGACCATGGTCTTTTCCCGTGGTCCTCGTGCCAAAACGAAATGGCTCGGTTCGGGTATGTATCGACTACCGGAAATTGAACGCGATCACTACCAAAGATGTGTATCCCTTGYCGCGAATCGATGATTTGTTAGATGCTATCGGGGCCGCTCGAGTCTTTTCCAAGTTCGATATCCRACACGGTTTTCGCCACGTCGCAGTCCGACCGGAGGACCGACCCAAAACCGCCTTTGTCCTGTTTGAGGGCACGTGGCAATGGGTCCGGTGTCCCATGGGAATTTGTAACGCCCCTGCAACGTTTCAGCGGGCCATGAATATGRCCTTCGCTGAGTTCGTTAACAAAACCCGACTGACCCAGCCCCTGATCAATTTCTGCGTGATTGTGTACGTGGATGATATTTTGGTCTTTTCAAAAACACACGAGTACCACGTGGAACACATTGAGTGGGTTTTGCATGCACTGAAAGATGCGGGGTTCAAAGTGGCCTTGGAGAAAAGCGAGTTCTTCTTGTCGGAAATCTCATTCTTGGGGTATATCATCACGGTCGACGGACTAAAATCGGATCCGAGGAAGGTGGTTGCAGTTCAAGACGCCCCGGCGCCGGTCACACTCACCCAGGTTCGGGTTGTTTTAGGGATGGCATCCTATTACCGACGCTTCATCAAGGGGTTCGCCGGCATAGCGAAGCCCCTCACGAACCTGCTGAAGAAAGAGGAACAGCTGATCTGGACGTCGGAATGCGAAGCAGCGTTTCAGGCGTTGAAGGAGGCTCTGACATCTGCTTCTGTGTTGGCGCGCCCCGACTCGACAAGACCATTCGCACTGTACACAGACTGGCAGCCTCAGGCGATATCGGCGGTGCTGACTCAGCACGGCAAGGACGGAAGGGAGCACGTCATTGAGAATGCGTCCAAGACGCTAAGCCAGGCGCAGGCTAATTATGAAGCGTGCAAAGGTGAATGTCTGGCGGTGGTGTGGGGCATTCAGCATTTTCGACCGTATCTGTACGGTCAGAAATTCGTGCTGGTTACGGATCATCAGCCGCTGCTATCCCTACGCAACAACACGGACTACACGGGGACACTGGGCAGGTGGGCGGTGCGTCTGCAAGACTATGACTTCGACATCCTCCACCGTGTCACGCGGCAGCATGGTAACGCCGATGTATTAACGCGCCTTATGCCGCCCAACAAGTGTCCCACCAACAAGCGACTCATTCCGTGGAGGCCAGAAGTCGCGGCGATGAAACCACACTACGGGGAACTACACGTGCTGCGTAAGGACGACGCCTGAGTCCGGAATGGAGGTTTCATCGGAGATGGCTGACGCTATCTCTCTGCCCTCATCCAACTCCCTCGCTCTCTCGTCTAGCCCCAACTCGTCCTCTGAAACACACCTAAGTCCCTGTTTCTTCTGTACCTTGCCTATGATCCCGGACCAAGAAGGGTCACATCCGGGAGGGCCCAGTTTTCTTTTATGGGTACAGTGTAGTCAGTGTCATACGGTCAAATCTCCCGGACAGTGCGTTAGGTACCGAAGTGAAAAGACGTGGGTCTGTCCCAACTGTAGAACGGACCAAGTCCCTACCGAGAAGCGGTATCTGGACGCTAGAACAGCCGACGGATTTGCGCCAAGTGCCCGCCGGGCAGAAGCCTGGACGGACCTTCTGTTGCTACGGAGACTGTCAGGCAACTCGTTGTCAGAACTTACCAAAGCCGAACGGCGGAGAGTCACGGAGCGGGCGCAGGACTATCGCTGGCAGGGCCCGACGTTACAAAAACAGAAGGTCGATGACGACGGAGAGTCTAGCTGGTTGACGGTTCCACACCCTCTTGCTAGGTTCGATTGGACACGACTCGCTCATGAGGAGGATGCGCTCCATTTCGCGGTCAAGTACACGGAAAAAGCCATCGAAAAGAATGGATGGTACTGGTCGGGAATTCGGGAAGATGTGAAATACATCGTTCAGAATTGCCTGGCCTGCGCAGTGGACAAGGCATCAGATGCCTCGGACGATGGTGCCCACTCGTGTAGAGCGCCCCTTTCAGAGGGTTAGCATCGATACGACGGATATCAACGTTCCGAGAGGCCCCGTAGATCTGGGAGAACTCAATGTTCTTTTAGTTGCCGTCGATCGTTTTTCAAAATGGATCGAGGCGTATCCTATGACCAGCCGGAATTCGCAGGAAGTAGCCTGGTACGTAAATCGATTTTTGTGCATGCATCTAGACGTAGAAGAGGTACACATGGACAATGGGTCGGAATTTCAAGGCGAAGTAGAACGTCACCTAGTCAGGGCGGACGTTAAGATTATCTACTCGCCGGGGCATTGGCCTCAAGCCAACGGCCTGGTAGAGAATGCTAACCGACTGACTAAGACGACCCTTAGACGGAATATCACTGCGGGAGACACCCGACCATGGCCGGTAATTGTCGACCACATTTTGGCCGTTTATCGGGCCACCCCACACAGTAGTACTGGGGTGTCCCCCTTTCAACTGAGAACGAATAGTGTCCCTCGGGTGCAATTGTCCCCCCTAGTAGGTACGGGAGTTAGAGCAATACGGGCCCAGAATCAAGACAAGGCCCGCCACTACATGGACTTAATGGCTAGGGCCTATCCCCCGTTAGCTCGCGGACGACAGCAAGCCATAGATCGGACACATCAACGGCAGATCCGTGACTATGAGAATCGACACGCGTCGGCGCGACCACTGCCCCGCTATAAAGTTGGGGACTTGGTGCAGGTACGAAAATCTGCGTGCTCCTCCAAGATCAACCCGCGCTACACAGGCATTTACGAGGTCACAGAGGTTGGCGCACAGGGACAGCACTCCGTGAAGCTGATTCCCCGTCACAACTCCCAGGCCCGACTGCTGACACGGCACGCGGCCGCGCTCCGGCCTTTCCAGCCATCGCTAGGTCCCCTGCGGACCCCCGCTCCTGCGAGATCACCCTCTCCTTCTTCATCCTCATCCTCCTCCTCTTCCCGATCTGCCTCGTCCATTGGTGCTGGGAGTTTCAGGGAGCAGGATGAACCATCGCCAGCCGGAGCATGAGCCCCTCGAGCTTTTCCAGACGCCGCTTGCAAATCGCCTGTTGCGGCATCGGTTCAATGAGGAGAGGCAGTTGCGGTACGACATTCAGCAGGTGAACGTGCCGGCGCCCTGGGTTGCAGATTTGGCGGCGTACTCGTTGCTTTGCGATCGGCTGACGTATGCGGGGGTGTACGTGGACGTGACGCAGTTGCCTGGCCGGGAGACGACCCGAGTATTCATTGAGTTCCGCGCGCTCCAGGTGGCACCCAATTTCGTGCACAGCGTCGCCACCTTCATCGGAGACTTGACGATCCTACCGCAGCCGAATCGGGAGCCGGCGCGCAGCTTTGTGTGCGAATACGCGGTGGAAGCGGCCAGATCAGTGGCCAGATTGCAAGGTCGGGGGGGACACCGATTCACAGCCCACGAAGTGCTGCTGCGTAGGGCAGCGGACGAACCGATTGCGTTGGTGTCGCAGCTCCCCGCGCTTCTCCCTCCCGCTGCTCCTCTCAACTTCCAAGCTATTCCCCCTGTCCCGTACTAAATGCCTCCTTTCTTCTCCTACACCACCCTCCCCTACCAGCTCACGGAGGGCCCTTACCCCATGCGCGAGTTCTCGGAGTATTTGGTGGAGCTAACTGACGTGGAGCCGCTGCCCTTCGCCGACAAAGACGCGTGGGAGTTGCAAAGTGCGCTGTACAAGTCGGTGGCGTTGGGGATGTTCCGGTTCTTCGTGGATCACGAAGACCACGCTATCGGGGAGCACTTCGTCGTTTACTACGTCATCGCGCGGCCCAAGCCAGCGGAGAAGGAAGGGACGGTGGCGCTGTACCCCTTCGCCCAGCTCCAGACAATCGATCCGGGATTGTTGGAGCTCATACATCTTGAGCTCCTCTGCATTGCGCAAGTGATCGCGAGCGAGGAGGAGGAGATCCAACCACGATTGCGGACGACGACGGCCCCGCGGAGAACGTACAACGTGGTCGTCATCCCGGATTACATTGCGCAGCGCGCGGAGAGATTGGAGGACTTCCCGGAGGAAAGGCCGTTGCGTCCTCCCTCGTTGTATCCTCGACCAGCGCCACCGAAGGCCCCCAAGAAGACGCCGAAGAGGAAGAGACGCCACCCGTCGCCAGGAGCGCAAGGCAGCAGGATCGGCGGCGGCGAGGAGGTGATTCAGCCCGCGCGTACGCGGATTCCTGACCCTGTGCCTTGGAGTGCGGCGACGCTCGTTAAGGAGACTATCGTGCCATCGCCGCCCATTCCGCGTGTGCCCGATCTCAGTCTTGATGGAGCCCGGGCATCAGCAGCAGCAGCAGCCGGAGGAGGAAACCGAATGGGATTTCCGGATCCCATATCCAAACCCCCCGTCCTCGCGGGACCTCTCCGTTCCCGCCAGCCACCCCGGGGTGCCCCGGTCATTGACATTAGTAGTTCATCCGAGCCGGACGGTCCATCCGACCGAGATGGACTTCATGGTGGAGCCCGCCACCATCAGGCTCGAGGCCATCGCGGGGGCGCCGCGCCCTTATCCGGCGTGGGAGCCATATCTGACACCCCCTTTCCAAGGGTGTATTGCGGCGCGATTGGCCGGGACGCTCATCTACTAGACTGGGCAGCGTCCAAATGCGATTTACCACTTCCTGGTCTTCGCGGCGCAGAAGCGAGAGCGGCGGCCTTACACCGAGACTCATGTGGTGATGACGGGTCCAGGGCCCCAATCGGTGCGCAAGCGGGTGGTGCGAGCGGTAGCGGATCTGGAGCCACGTGTCCTCTCACATGTGCCGGGGGCTTTCCTTTACCCCTCATTCGTCCAGCATCACTTCCATGAGGAAGATGCGCCGACGACTCCTGCGGCAATGGCCGCTTTTCTTCCACCTATTCCGCCCCCTCTCAATCCCGACATAGATCACTTCCTCTGATCACCCTCGTCTACCTCTCCCCTGTCCTCTCCTTCTCCTTCTCTTCTTTTTCTTCTTCTTTTCCGGATCTAAAGCTCGCGCGATGATACGCGCTGTATATAATATAAAAAAAAAATAATAATAATAATAAATTCTTTTTACTTACCGATCGGGCCAGCTGACGATGAAGGGGCCTCCCGATCGAATTTATACTATGGGAGGAGGCGATGGAGGATGCAGGATGCATCCACGTAGATTAGGAAGATGATCGGGCCAGCTGACGATGAAGAGGTCGCTCGATCATCCATGATATGATGACATCAGCAGTCGGGAGACTGCTAATTTTTCGGAACCCCCTGCGCATCACAGATGTGATAAGCTCAGATCCGTACCACGCAGCTTGCCGTATCCCTGGGGAAAAATCCCGTGGAAGCCCCGAAGTATGGACGCGGATAGAAAGGGGTTTTTCTTTCTTTTTGCTTTTGTTTTCTTTTTTAAACGGATTTTTCATTTTGTTTGGTTAATAAATCCCGCGGGCGAATAGAGGCCGCGGTATGAAAACCAAGAAACGGGTGCGTTTGGGACTTTTTGAATTTTTGCGCGCGCGCCCAAGCTCCGATTTCTTCGCGCGTCTCGCATCCCCGTTTCTTGCTTTGCATCCTCGCGCTATCTTCCCTTCTTGCTGCGCGCATTTTCCCCATGCAGGACTCTTCGTCTTCCCCTACGCCCAGCTTAATCCTTACCCCGTCTTCCTCCACGAAGTGATTGGCTGCGTAGTTGGGATGCTCGGATCAATGTGGAAAGCGGGAAACCGCGCACCACTTGGACGAACACCCCAATCACGTAGCCATGCCATCCCGCGGGTCGAACCCTCTAACTCCCCACCTCTCTCTCCTGTCCTGCTCATCTACACCCTGCGCTGCCCGCACCTCGCGCTGTTAACCCGCCGCCTCCCGCGCTATAAATTTGCGCAACCCTCTCCTCTCCTCCTCTTTGATCTCGGCTGCAATGCTGCGCGAGCTATACGCGAGAGTCCGCGGCGCCGAACAGGCTCGACGAGCCTAAGGACGGGCGAAGTGACGACGTGGGGTGGACCCCGCGGTAGTCTCGGGGCGAAGCAGTCGGAGGGACTGAGCAGTGGTGGGGATTGGACGCCGACCGCGGCAGGGCCTTGTGGCTATGGTGGTCGGTGGTCTTGGGAAGTTTT